TACTCCTGAACATGTGTGGAATCTCCAGAGGCATCCCAGTACTCGCAAGTAGCAATGCTTTACATTTGTCTGCCAGTGTGGGCTAGCGCCGGCCGTCTGCAACAATACCTTTCCACGTGCCTGACACTTCGCTAGTGTGTCCACCTTGTGGCTAGTCTTCTCTAGTAGCAAATCCTTGGTAGCAATTCTTCAAATTTATCTCCCAGTCTCGGCTACTGTGTCTGCTATTTTGTAGCAGCTCCCCCGGTCTGGGCCAAAGCAGTCTCCTGCTGGCATACATTTGGCTGCCAGTGGGCTAGTGCCTGGTAGCAGATCTTTACATAGTGTGATTACGTTTTGGCAACTCGTTGGTACTGCAGCCAGCAAATCTTTGCATGTGTCTCTCAGTTAAGGTTGTGTCCGCCTTCGGCAACAGAAGCAGTTCTTTACACCTGTCTCCCAGTCTGGGCTATTGTGTTCCGCCTTGTGGCAACATTTGTCTCCCACTCTGCTAGTGTGTCTGCCTGCTGGCAACTCCTTTGTTTAAATTCTTTACATTTGTTGCCCAGTCTGGCCATTACTTGACATGTTCTTCGAGTGTCTGCTTTCTGGTAAATCCTCAATAGCCATGTTTAGGCTACTGCTTACTGCTTTCATCTTCTGGCAAAAGCAGTGATTCCAATGGTCATTTACAGCGGTCAACTGTTTGGGATCTACGGTGGTGTCAATGATCTCCAAATCACCCTTTAACCAGCACAACAAGGACATACAGAACCAGGCATAGCCCTCCTTTTAACTGCCAAGGTCGTTCAAGCATGAGTCCAGTATACCCCAAATGACGAGGGTCGACTGCAAGTCTGAGAAGCATCCCGGTCAGAATTGGAGTCAAGAACAACTTCCTCAGAACCATTCCCAAGCAAAGAAGAAGCAACACATGTGTTTAATTGGTGTTGATATAGTGATGATTATGGGTGATCCAAATGTGCCTCGTGGTTACACCAAATGAATCCAAACGACAACACAGCTAGATCATCGCATGTCTTGTCTGGTGTTAGCGTGAGGCAACTGCCGGAGCATCTTCTCTGTGGATTTCACCGCCAATATCCATTGCATTTTGCCTAAATCTGGCATGCCAAGGCCCAGAAACATCTATATACCTGGACCTTCGAGGGGTGTCCTGTCTGGAGATCCCAGATATATAGTAGTGTAGGGGCTTCCAGCCAGGTGACCCCTTAGAAGGTCCAGGTATATCTTCCCTGCAGCATGTGGCACCTTCAACCTTCATCAACTCGAGAGCCGAACCAAGATGCAACGGCTGTTCAATCCATTAGCAACGGCATGCATCCACACCCGGATCTCTCATAAAAGTACCCCAATCAAGCCTTCCCCCAAGGACACACCTGGCACAAGTTCTTGCCACTCGAGACAAGCTAACCCAAGTTGCCAAGTACATACTATACATCCACCTGGCAACTAACCACATCTACGGTCTCTTTCTTGTGATATACTTCCATGCTTCCGACCGGTACCGGTGAAGTCACACTCCCTGATCTCACACGCCTCGAAGTCTGCCGACACGCGCGGCACTCTCAGGCGCTGGAGCAGCCTCGATGGTTCAGCGGCGGTTGGGGTGGAAGGCACTGATAGTGTCCAGGCCGCTGTGGCTGCGACACCAAAAACATTCCTACCCCGAACGAGTTATGACATTTCATGCCACATGGGTAAGCAGTATGCAATTAGTTGTACTGTAAACAAGCTCGAAAAAAAGGCAGGAAGTTCTCCACCAGCTCTCTGAGAAAAACTGAATCAGGTATGTCTAGGTGCGTCCATCATCTGTTTGTACCCAACGGGTTATGAGTGCTCAAGCACCCAACATCACCGCGCTTCGCGATGTATTTCAGATTTGACAATACTGTCAGGATTCAAGAACATCTGCTAGATCTACTAGCTCGTGATTGAACGCTCTCAGCCTCTCATCCAACCACCGCGGTCAGGGACCCTGACCGCAGCTCAGTCTGGCTGGGCGACTCATCACCACCTGCGTCTGATTCACCTGGTCGGCCGTCGAGGAGACGAGACGAGACGAAGCAACTTGCTGCCAACATGTCTTGCTGCCAGGAGTCACAGCGAGAAATGGAGTCATGAAAGAATGAATGTGTATATATATATATGTATATACCAGGCCGAATATGTTTCCTGGAGCTTAAATCACATGAATGTATACCGGGAGTCACAAGATGGGGTGCCTATATTGGAGCAGAACATCTACTCACTTAGCGACTAAAAACCACCCCGACATCCTGGTATATGTATCGTACATCATAACTACATGGATTTCCCACGACTGGTAGAATTGTATGTTGGATGACATTGGGAAGGGGCCATGAATGAAGTGGTCACTTACCTTCTACGGAGGATTGGAGGGGGAAGACTGAAGCAAAGATTGCATGTTGGTGGCGTCTGACACGGCGGTTCTTGCTTCTCGTCTCTTTGCTTCCCACTTTTAGTGGCTGGTCAGTGGGCAAGAAATCTTGAACTGAGCAAGAAGCAAAGGACCCCGCCAATGCCAAAACGTCCTCCTCTACGACAAGTTCTGAGCGGTTCTGAGTGGCTAAGAAGCTCCAGGACTCAAAGACCCTTCATTTTCCGCGGCCTGGTCCGGCATGGATCGTCTGCAAGGCAGCCTGGTGTGAGTTGACAGAAGTGTCTCAGAATCTGTCTTCTCCAGCAGTTCCATGGTGCACCAGTAACATCCACTCACAGGATGGGACTCAAAACCAAATTGTTGTTTCCTTTGGAAGTGTGATTCTCGTGAATCTTTACATGACTGGTCTCTTGACTATTTTTGACGTCGATGGCATGTCGTGACTTATTACAGTAGTCTACGAATCCGTCTTGCAACGACGTCGGACGGTTGATTGAACAAAGTCGGACGTTTGACGTGCATGTTTAAGAAGGATGCTTGACATGTTTAGATCTGTTCTTTGATCTTGGACCTGAAGAGTACTTTGCCTTCTTGGAGGTGTTTTCTTTGAAGATATAGGCATAGGGTCTCACACTTTTGGAAGGGTTCTGGTCGAAATCCTTTGGGTGACCGGTTGATTCCGCCGTTTCCCGCCATCGGCGCCTCATCCGAGGTCCCAAGTGCGGATGCTGGTGGCGTGGCACACGACATGCACGTGCTGAGCGCATCTGGGCAAGGAGAAATGGCCAGCTTCGAGGCCTGTTCATCTCTCCTGCCGCGAGAGTTGGGGCACTGGCGGGGCCATTGACTGGTCCAGTGGAACACGAGTTCCAGGGCCAAGCAACGAGTTCCCATGGCAAATTCGATTTGATCTTGGGGTGCTCAGGAGCTCGAACCTCCGCTCCGCCCCGAAGCTCGGTCCGTGGGACCGCCTGAACCCGATGGCCGGTCGTCGGACCTGGTACGCAACCACCCTGCACCAGGACGACGAACTTGCATCATCGAGTCGTCGGTCGCGGAAGTCATTGCCCATGGGTTCTGAAACAAGCAGCAACAGCCAACACGTTGCTGGCGTTTCTGGGGGAGTCGACCTTTCTAATCCTTTTGATGTCAAGACACGGAGGCATAAGATGTCCATCCAAAGTCTATCACATGCCAGGAACCAAGCCGCTCAAGCCCATGCAGCCTAGCAGCTTGGACTGTGGCAAGAAGCCTGGTCCGATAGTGCACTTGTTGACTCCCACACAATAACAATGGATCTGGGTCCAGCAGTTCAACCATCATGGGTTGAACATGGTTGCATCATACTGGATCGTCCACGCATAGCCCTACTAATATCACACATGATTGTTTGGACTGGAATTCGGCAATCAGGAAGGTGCTGTCTGATTCTCTCTGTTGGAAAAACATATCTCTCTGATGAAATCGAAGTCCCAAAGGGGGTTCAATCCAGTCTCAGATCTCATCACCTGACATGAGTGGTGTTGTTCATCCTCGTTTTTGTTTTCTTCCTGCTGATGATAGTAAAAATATCACTATATAAATCCGGAATTCAATTTCCTTTAAGCCCCAAATACTGGTGCTCGTTCAGTGTTTGGGCAAAGGCGTTCTGCGGTTCTGCAACTGGTCACGCTGGTCCCAGGTCCTTGAACGATAAGCCCGATAAGCCATGAACAAGACAAGACCGTCTTTCTGTCTGATCCTGGTTTTGGCTACAGTTGAGGGCCTCTGAAGGCATTGAATGCAAGAAACACACAAATACTCAACCGTTGGTCCGTAACATTGGGGGATCTATAGTCTCAATACACAAAGGTCACAGGATTTGTATAATGCATTTGAATGCATTGTCAGCCTCAGGAATTTGGCAATACATCCTTATAGGTCCGGAGATGTCTAGAGTCTCTTGCTGTTAAACTCAATGGAGCTGGAAAATAATCAATTGACATCAATCTCGAAGGGTGCAAATACCTGATCACTCTTCCACACAACCACCTGGGGTACAAAGGTGTCTCATGCATTCGGACAAGTTCAGCTCTCTTCCAATGAAGCTGCATCCTCGTTTTAATATCTTTGTCAATCAAACGTAGGTTTTTCAGCACCAACTTGCAAGGAATTTGACAACGGGAGACGCTGGCAGATACAAAACTAAAACAATTGACAAAGATCACCAAGTATACCATTTCACTGACTGTGCCATGCAGGTGAGAACCATGCATTTTTACAACGTCTTTTTTCTTTTGAACACTTGGATCCACATACCCTCTGAGAAGGTTAAGGTGATTGGACGATTGGACCCTCCAAGCCTAAATTATGAAAGAGTCTCCAATCTCCTTCTGGCTTCGCTTGGCTTCGCTTGGCTTGTCCCACAGCTCAACCATTTAGTTCCAGACCCACAGCTCCACCTGTTTTGACTCACCAGCGGAGTGACTGACTCACCACCGATGACTGACTCACCACCGGTGGATTTGGGGTGATGGGTCGGTGCATTGATTCATCGATGCTCAGGACATATCCTATTCTAGTCCTATTCTATTCGGCAGTCAGTTAATCGCACCGACTGCCGATATGTCTATAGGGCCTAGGGTGTATCCTGCCTCAGCCCAGTGGATGATGATGGTTCAGTTGCAGGTCGACATCTCTTAATATAGTGATGTTCTATGACATTCTATGACGTTCTTGTTTACCGACCATTACAGGTCATGGGACACCCCCCATCAATAGTTGTTTGATGTTGTCTATATCTCTGCCTGGAACACATCCTGGCTCCATCTTCTCAGCAAACAACAAAATGGATGTTCGTCTCACCGAGGCACAGTTGTTGCACAGCTCTCGCCGAATCTTGTTGATCTCCCCACAGCTGCACGTCCAGGTCTCAGGTGGAGCTACTAAACCGCCAGCGGGCGACTTCTTCTCGACTCGCTTCGGCTCAGGCAGCTGGTCCGGACGGACCTGGCAACACTACAAAGACAAAGACCCTATAGGTTGACAAAAAAACACAAGGCGGGAGTTCTCGAATGTGTCTAAGATGTTTGTTCCTCCCCTACACTCCACGGCGAAAAACAAACAACAACAACAACAACAACGACAACAACAACAACAACAACAACAACAAACAACAACAACAACAACAACAACAACAAGGTACAAACAAAAATTGCAGCCCCGTTACAACTACAACGGGGTGGAAACAAAATCTGCAACCCCGTCGTTGTTATTTTGACCCCCCCAAAAAACAACCAGCCAACATGTACTTTTACCAGTATAGTGGTAGTGCTAGTACTAGTGCTAGTACTAGTGGTACTAGTACTAGTAGTAGTCGTTGTTGTAGTGGTCGTCGTAGTAGTAGTAGTAGTGGTAGTCGTAGTGGTAGTGGTAGTGGTAGTAGTAGTAGTAGTGGTAATAGTAGTAGTAGTAGTAGTAGGAGCAGTAGCAGTAGCAGTAGCAGCAGTAGGAGTCGTAGTGGTAGTGGTAGTGGTAGTGGTAGTGGTAGTCGCAGTCGCAGTAGCAGTAGGAGTAGTAGTAGTAGTAGTAGTTAGTAGTAGTAGTAGTAGTAGTAGTAGCAGTAGCAGTAGCAGTAGCAGTAGCAGTAGCAGTAGGAGTAGGAGTAGTAGTAGTAGTAGTGGTAGTAGTAGTAGTAGTAGTACTAGTAGTAGTTTTCGTGGTGGTGGTGGTGGTGGCAGTCCGGTCAGCTAAGCCTGTGTAAAACTTCTACTTAGAACCTCTACCACATCCTAGAGACAAAACCTGCAGCCCCGTTGTTGTTTTTTTGAACCCCCCCCCCTCAGAAGATGTTGTTGTCTCTACCCCCCCGTAGAAACAAAATCTGCAGCCCCGTTGTTGTTTTTTGACCCCCCCCCCTCCAGAACAACATCCCAAAACACATCAAAAAAACAAGAAACAGACCAACCAAGACTTGAGTACCACAACGACAAGAAGTCCAGCTACTAACATCTCTCCAAACCTTCGACCCTATCCCTAACAGTGCCCCTTTGAAATCCCTGACTTGCAACATGTGACAACTATGTTGTGCAGCTGTTTATGTCTCTACCAACAACAACAACGACAACGATAACAACGACAACAAGAACAAGAATCTATGCCAGGAGACGGAAAAGGAATCAAAAAAGGCAGGACTTCCGGTTCCGAATGCCCGGGAGGCGAATCCGCGCCCGCGCTGCCGGTGCCTCGGGCGGTGCCTCGAGTGGTGCCTGCTGTGGCTGGAAGTCCTGACTTGGGATCTTGTTCTTCGCCTCACGCGTCGGCCCACAAGCCGCCACGACTGCACTGGATGGTCCGGAGGGTACGACGGCAAGCGGGTGCGAAGTAACCCGATCAAGGAAGGGTCTGTGAAGCAAGGGATCCAAGAGTGATGCGTTGATAAATAGGTTTAGCCTTTTAAGTAATTAACTGCTTGTCCCCAAGAAAAAAACTGGAAAAGAAGCATTTCACCCAGGCGAGATTCAACTTGATTTTGCCCACACCAGTACTGAGCACTGGTTGGATGCGTTCTGCACGGCTCACTGCTACCTTCTTCACTCCTCTGGTCATAGCCCTCCTTTTTCGTCTGCTGAAGAACTATACATAGAACTACATCTACCGACCACGTAACTCCCAGACCATCCAGTCTTGCATCCGGTGGAGTTTTGCAGTTTTGAGAGCGAGCAACGTTCCAAGGTCCAACATCCAACTCTCGGAGTCCAGGTGCCTTCCGCGGATGCACCGTTCTCTGCGGCTTGGGAAGCTGAGCCGCTGCGGTGGGCAAGCTGAGCTCATTGGCAAGCAGCGCCTGAGAAGTGACGATCTCAACACAAATATGTTGGGATGCGCACACCATGCACAAGGAAGTGTTAGTATTGTTCTTAGTTGTTTCAAGTGCCCCTCACAGAAGCCTCCAAAAGAAACACCAGTTCAAATGCAACTGGGAATGTGAACTAGATTATGTATACAACAATAACCTAGCTTAGGCTATTTAATAACTTTTAAAGCACCTCAAACAAATGATATCAAGCAGGTTCTGACATGTTCTGACTGTGTCTATTTTTGGGCTTAACATCCGAAAATTGTAAGCTGTTCTTAGAGAGTTAGAGGCAGGCTCCTTGGGCCTGTAGAGGGAAAAGGAGGCCTTACATATCCCATGTCTCGGTTGCTACTCCCAAAGATATCCAGTTTCGTTTGAGGCCTTTCGACTGTGGAAAGAAGCTTCTGACAAGTAATCTGTCTGAACAGAAGGCAAGCTAGCGATCTCGCAACCTGATAGAAAAGGGGCTGAGAATACAGTAAATCCTTTTCAAAGCATTGGTCGTGAGGATGACCATGCCCTGGGGCATACTTGCCCTCATCCACATGGCATTGCCATTGCCGAGCCACTCGCCAGGGGAATCTTTGTCTTTTTCTTTTCATAAGAAGGACTTCTCAAATCTTCTCAAACCACGGATGATGAAGAACGACACAAGGAACCCAAAAACAACACCCTTGGTTCAAGGATTCGCAAACCTGCATCTTCATTTTCGGATGATACATCTTCCAGCCACTTAAACCATTTATAACATACTATAACTATCTGAATGCAAAACCCATCTGGTACCAAACTGTGCGTGCCTTCTACATTGGGAGGTGATCCATCCAATCCCTTGCACGGCCGCGCCTCATCCGCTTCGCATCTCAAGCGCCACACACGTCCAAAGCCTTCGGCCGAAGCCGTCAGCTGCGGCTCCTCGAAGTGCCGCGCGAAGCCACCGATGACCTTCCTCCAACGGTGGACGCCGAAACCGCTGCGACGGTTCGGGATCCAATCGGCGCTTCAGCCGATCGAAGAACTGCGCGAAGTGCGGGAACGGTGTAGGAGGGATCATGTAGACGCAAAGAATTCATGAAGACCTCCCCCAATTGAATTGGAAATCCTCTTCATTTGGGGGGTGTTATTAGTCCGATTCATATGGAGGGGTTATTAGTCCAGTCTTCCAACCTTCCGACAAGTGATCTGCCGATGGCCGATGTGTTGTTCAACACCAAACGGAAAGACACGTGGTGGTCATCCATTGCAATACAAGTGATACATTTTCTGTGAGTGGATGTGATGATTTGATGTTTGTTTGTTGTTTTCTATCATCATATAACTAATTATTATTATAATATGTCTATATAATATATTCTATAATTATGGTAGATAATGTCATATGACTGTAGATCTGATCTAAGGAACAATATCTCACTGTCGTTGTGACCACGACTTGAAATTAGAGTGTATTCTTCAAACATAGAGCTTCAAATATAGATTCTCCTTGCCTACTGATCCACCAACCAAGCTCTCAGCTCCCTACTGCCAAGGAAGCACCTGTTGAGGCACCTGTTATCGAAACCCGTTTCCCTACGTCCCATCTCTGCCATCATCTGTCAGGTAGCGAAGAAGCTTCCTGAGGTGGTAGAGTCCGGTGGCCAAAGCGCTGCAACACACGGCGCGCGCACTCCTCTTGTGGCACCTGAGGTGGGTTTGCAGGGATCGATCCGTGCTGAACGGAATTCAATTCCCAGAGAACCAGGGGTTGGTTGAAGAATCACTTACCTTTGGGAGGCCTCCCATTTTCTGCTTTTGGCTGGGTGTGCTTCTTCTGCGAGGCACTGCAGGTCTCAAGTGAGTTGGAGGGTCGGAGTTCCATGTTCTATGTCGAGGTGGTGTTAGACCCCAAGTGAGTCGACAGCATTGTTTTCGCCCACCCGAAGCACCCCGCCCGATCTGGGGCCCAACGGGACCAGCGAGGCACGTCGAGCCAGGCGCAGGCCAGCTCGGAGGGTGACAGGTGGAACTCCGTCTTTGCCAAACGTGTCCAAAGCGCGCGCTGCGCTCGGGTCCTCCCGGAGGCAGCGGGCATAAGAGGTTCTGGTCGGACATGGTGGGACAAAGGTCAGCAGGAGAGGTTGTTAAAAGAAAACGTTTTGTTAGAAAGCACAAATATGTCACGTATATGTCTCTAAACTTTAGAAGTCCTCTAAATTGACACGTTTCTTTTTCTCTGACAGAAAGCAATGTGTTTCGGTCGCTCACACTCTAGAACTACGAATCATCTTTGATTCCATTCCATACATGATTCATATATAGTTCCATCAATGATCGCCAACATAATTGCATGATCGTGCCCAGATGTGCCCAGTCCCACTTGACCTGTTCCTCTGCCTGTCCCGACCCCCTGACTTGCCCCGGAACGGTCACATTGCAGCGGTCGACCAGCACTTTGCGCTTCCGTGCCAAGGCCACGCGCACCGCCTTCATGCACGCCTGCCGAGAGCCCAAGGTGTCCTTGGATATCGTCGAAGATGGCAGAAGGCGCCAGCCAAGGGTAGTTGGAGACTGGGCATGGTCAGAATCTCCTTAGCGACTGTGGATTGAGAATTCTTAGGATATACAGTATTGTGGAAAGCTGTTGAGGAAACTCAGGCAAATACAACTACAATCAAAATAAACAAGAACCAGCTCGGTGGCAGGGCACCTGAATTGTGTGACCATGTTTGAGCCATTTTCTGGATGTTTTGCTGGGCTGGCCATCGGGGAAAGTCAGTTCGTGCTAGTTCGATGGTCCAATCCTTGCAGGTTCGTGTAGATTGCCGTTACTCACTTGTGTCAACTGGCTAGTAAAGCCTGGCCATTTCCAAGAGACTAGACCCTTTGGGCCTTTGCGCCTGACGCCTAACCTTCAGGTAGTGATGTGGTATACAGTCACGTCCCTGCACCACTTGGAACCCTTCGGTTCTGTTTCCCGAAGAGCTGAGGCCACCACCTGGGCTGTGTGTTTGTTATGCCAAGTGTCCTGATTCACCACGGTCCAGTCCGGACCTGAGACTGAGACGAGTCGAGACAATCGGGGGGCCCCCGGCGAAGCGGCGAAGGGAGTGCATGCTCCTAGCTGAAACCAGCTTGGAAATACTTCCCCAAAAAACTTGACTGTGGGAGGAGGTCAGCCTAGCCCCTGGCAGTGCAAACAAAGCACCTCTACAGACCGCAGTACCGGTTGTTGAACCAAGGTTCAGTTGAAACCCTAAATGTCCCAGTCCCATCTTTTTGTCTCCCAAAATCCATCGGTGGGATTCCCAGTTTCAATCGGATCCCTTTTCGGGTGCGTATTGAAGAACTGTGGGGAGTGAGTGGTTTCTCCCACGATTCATTGGAATCATGCAGCTAACACGTGTGTTTTTACTGAAGCCATTGCTCTTCCGGTCCTTAAGTTAACTAGGCGCATTTTGCTGTTCTTTAGGGTGTTGTGAATCTAGATGGACTCTTCAACTGAAACACATGAAAGAACAACCACAAACAACCACCCAAAGTGACCCAAGAAGTTTAGTCATTTCTTAAAATTCGATCAGCAATCCGTGCATCACGACCAGAAATGGCGATCTTCGTGCACCGTGCATATCTCCGGAGAGTGGTGCACTGCTTCGGGGAGGGGGTTGATGATCCGAACCCACCGGCCTCGCACCCCGGGTGGCACGACCTGCGGCCAAGCGGCTCGCTGCGAAGCGAGCTGCCAAGGTGCTCTTTCCGCTGCCGGGGAGTCCACAGAGCAGCAGCAAACGGATCTCCGGCACTCGCGCCGCCGCGATCCGGGAGCCGGGCTCCTTCGGCACGGCGACGAAGACGAAGACGACGACAGGGCAACCAGGGCGAAGACGACGACAGCGGGTTCTGGCGCGGAAATTGAAGGTTTGAGAAAAGGAACAAGAAACATAACGGTTGGTAAATAAGACACAAACTCATGCGAGTGTTATAGACACACCAAATGATATGAAGGATTCACATATATGTTGATATTTTGTGACATATAGTCTCATATAGTGAAATAAGATGACATAAGTTTGTGCCAACATAGTTAAAACTTTGCACATGCAACTGGGTGTAAGGTCGGATAGATTGCATGTAAGGTAGGATATGCCTGCGAACCTGTTTAATCTTTCGTGCAAATTCCACTGCCCCGATTTGGACTGACACCGAGGGAGACTCATCTCACTGCGGACTTAACTCTACAGGTCGGGTCTAATGAAGTTGGATTCCCGGGTGCAGGTCTCAGCCCTGGTGATCTGTTGGGTGGTGTTGGCTGCTCTTCCTGCTTATAAAGGTCTTCCACCCCCATTTGTAGAGGGACATCTTCCCACTTTCGGCCCAACTTCCAGGTCTTGGTCGGAGGGTATGTGAAGAGTCACAAAACTGTAGCATACTGTAGACAGTAAATTGTGTATTTCAATAGGGAGACGCTCTGGTAGGTCGATTTCATTCTATGTCCCTTCCACGGGGTCTTTGGGAGGTCTCCCTATTGGAGCTACACACCCAGTTGTTCAAGCCAAAAATAACATGAGGGAGATGGTCTGTATTTACACTATTTTACGTCAGCCATCTGGCGGCTCTGGCTAATGCTTCCTTCTTCGCATTATCCTCCCAAGAACTAGATGAACAGCAGGGCTGTGATCCTCACATTTGTTTCCATGTTTAATTTGTGAAACCAAGGGTCAATCAAGCACCACTGCCTCCCCAGAACAGAATTGAACTGGATACAGGGGTCTGTTGCCTTGCTGAAACAATCATATGTCTTCATGGGCCCTTGGGAGATGGACTCGCTCCTAAGATGTTCATGGGCCCTTGGGAGAGTTTCTGTGCCAGCATTGGGCCAATAAAAACACAGAAAAGCTACAGTAGTGCACCTTACCTTTCCCAAACCGCAAAAAGATCAAAGTGTGCAAGCCCCCTAAAGATCGCAGTCGCCCACTCACTATAGGTCTTTACCTGAAAATGTGTACACCTTTGTGATCCTGTTCTTTTAAACGCATTTTTTTTGTAAAACACATTTTTTTGTAAAACGAGATCCTGTACTCTCTGGCTGTCTCAACATATTGACTCCTCAGGTGCCACGATCTGCCCGTCGCTTCCACGATCTGGTTGAGGGCGCCGATCTTCCTCAGCCTGAGACAGGGGACGAGATCAGGTATGCAAGGAGGGATGCACAAAGACCAGGCATTATAGAAGCTTCTATCCATCCTTTGAATCCGTTCCACCATCTTAGACCATCTTCTATCTAAGACTGTAAGATTCTTTGAGACTGGAAGCCGTTATGAATGGTTTAAGATCTTCAAGTCTGGAACCAGTTCAACATGACTGCAGCACGATGGAGATTCATACGTCATATGGACTAACTACCCATGATCACGTGTCTCAACAAAAACTTGGAGCTGAGCGAGTTCAATGGCTTTTGATGGGTCTACTTAGATGGCTTCAATTTTCATGCAATGGGTCCGTCAGTGTGTGGTGCTATGCAACAGATTTCTGGAAGAATCGACACTGGCACCATCTATTCTGATACCAATATGATAACATTTATAATAGAAAAACTGGCCAGAGGTTAACCAGCTGGAAACACACACATAATAAAGTCAGCATGGCACCCAAAAAACGGCACCCGGCCTGCTGTTGCAACATCTGCTCCAGCCATGCTGTCCACTCCATCAATTCGAGATCCTCAAAGGCTTCCTCCTCCTCCAACGACAGCGCGAGGTCCCAAGGGTTGATCTGGTGTCCTCTATCTGGACGGGACGCCGAGAACCAAAAGGAAGCACACACGTTCCCCGTACGGTCAGGGCTTCACCGCATAGAGAAAAGCCATCACTGAGACACCTGAGCCGCCTGAGGAAAAAACAAGTCCTTGTCTTCCAAGTCCGGAAGATGGAAGTGCAAAATCTTCAAGAGCCTCAGTCTGCTCAGCAGGATCAAAGATCTTTGACCAGCAAGGCTGGGAAATTTGTTGCTTTTTGATCTGGAGCAGACTGTCATCCATGGGAATACCTCATTTTTTCTCAACACAACATACGCACACAAACAAATAAATCAAAAGGAGAAACACACACCTATATATGACACTTTGCTATTGCATTATTTATATATTAAAACAATATTCTTCACGCTTCCTGGTCATAGCTTCTCTTCCCATGAGAACATCGATACCACATCTCATTCAAGACCCTATACTTTTCTATATATCATGTTCTAATCATTCTAATCAACGGCAACTGCTGAAAACACCCTGACCTCATCTCCATCCTGCCAAGTATGATCAATGTCTCTTGTCCTTTCTCCCATCTTTTTGCCAGGTCAAGATCCGAAGTAGTCCATGATTTGGGTCTATCCTACTACCAGTAACAGTGGACGGATGATGTTTATAGGTTCCAGGCCTTCCTCCAAAATAGTCGATTCTTTTTCCAGCTGTTACAGGTAGTTAGTAGGACAGCTCCCATTCGAAGTCACTTCCACCCTTTTCTCCATGATCTTCCCCCAAACGCCCATCAGACCGGAACCAGCATCACACCGTCACCGGAACACCCGGAACACCTTGGAACTCCATGGAACTCTTCGGCGATGGAGGCCACGCGGAACTCCGCTCCGTCCGGGCTCTTTGGCCCCTGCGCCCGTAGGCCTCACGACGTAGCGCGGTTCCGGCCGCGCGGGGACGTGGGTCCAGGAGGAGTTCCGGGGCGTCCATGTTCCATTCACATTCGTCGATGGGAGATAAACAGGATGAAACAGGTACCCCAAACATGGGATTCCTGATGAATTCATGTTTCAATGTGCATTGAGACTGTGGACTTCATGTTAGTGGCTCAGAAGGTGCCCGTCATGCATTCGTCACTGTTGGCGACTAAAGGCCGGATCAAAGATGGACACGTTGGGGAGGACGCCCGCCCCTCTTGGACAAAATAGAGCAACTGATTTTACATGGCACAGTCACAAGTCTCTGACTAAAATGTGCCCACTTGCCGCTTCTCCCAAGGTTCCAAAACGGTTTCGGTCCATACCACGGCTAAGGAGATTCTTGCTGCCCATAGCACCGCTCTTGCTGCAAGTTCAAACAAGCACCGCTCGCGTGACCTACCACCTCGCGTTGCCCAAGATGCTGGCTGTCCCACCGGTTCCCGCTGCTCGGTGCACACGACATGGGTGTTGGGGACCGACGGTGCGTCGAACGCGGGACGCGGTCGAGCGGCCATTGGGCAAGGTCCAAACCGTACAGCCATGTTCAAAACCAAAGCGTGATGCTTCTTCTGCCAGGCATTCCACCACCGTCCTGCATTGATTCAGACGTTTGACCATTTCCTTTGACATATTCCGAAGGATCAACGGCTTAATGCGCAATGCCAGGAAGATGATGCGCTTTTGTTGGGATGGGCATAAATTTGGTTGGGATGGGCCTAAACGTGGCAGTGGTTAATGGAAGAGAAACACCAGAGTCAGCCAGCAGAAAAGGGCCCTTCCCACAGGAAAGAGACATAAAGAAACCACTGGAAATGTTAGGAAACGGCCATTATGGTATACTCGTATACTCCAACCTTCCAATCATTCCGAAGTGGGCAAGTGAGTGCAGGCAATTCAGAAGTCTCTACGAAAGAACCAACAAGGGGTGTAGTGATCAATGATCAATCCCTCGACATTCCAGGGACCTCCGCTGCAACTCTCCACCACTGGCGACCTCCCGATTCGCGAGCGGAGCGTGCACCGCGCGCGAATCACGCGCGTGCAACCGGGTCCTGTGGCGCTCCCCAAGGACGCCCACGCGTGCCGGGAGGAGTAGGGTTTCAACCTGCGTGGAGCAGCTTGTGGTAGAATCCAGCGGGACCCTCCATGTACCAACTGAGACAACTAAGTCCCTCCTTGTCGTTGACGATCATGGTTACAGTCCGTGAAATTTTGGGAGGCATAGGGCATAGGGGGAGAGGTACGCTCATTGAAATTATAGTGGAAATGGATGGCACCACCCATTTGGTATTCAGACAATGGTGAACAATGGTCATCCAAGGGATTCCAAGAGACCATGCCATCCACAGCAGGGCATCAAGGCCTGGACGAACAACATCTTTTCTGAATGCTTGATGCTTGAAGCAGCTGCACAGGGATTGTTTTTTGCCGCATGCCGCATGAAAGTTTACAATACCCAAACACTCCATGTATGGCATATATGCCTACATTGAGCCCCAAAACCACCCCAACTGATCGGCATATACGGCAGTCCCATGGGTCGTATCTGGGATATGTCTTACAGCGCTTCTCGCCGCACGTTGACCGACCGGTTGATCACGGTCGACGGTTTGGGCACCTTCGGTGGTCCACTCCCGAGTCGAGTCGTGGATGGCATGTTGTTTGAAGAACGATGGAACCATCCTGAACACAAACAGGTGGCGGTCCACTGCACCGTGATCCATTTCAAGGAGTGCATTCTAGGTCAAAGTCCGAATGCACATGTAAGATCTGCTTGCACCAATAACAGAAGCACATCTCTTTTAACTTGTGGCCCAACGAGTTCACGTTACCCGAGAGCACATGAAGAGTCTCCTATATAGTATAAACCAACAATGCCTGAAGGCATTGAGTTGAACACTTTGAACATGGATTCGGCTCAAACATCCAATCCATGCATGCAACATGTTCAGGTTGTGCCAATTCAAATTCTTCCATATCTTTCAAGATATTTCTAGATGACTCATCGTCTTGCTGAAAAACAACCGCAAGGGACTGTTGATCCAAGAGTTCGGCCGCCAGATCACCCCCAGTCCCTCGGGGTTCACCATGGGGTTCACGTTCACTCCATTCTTATCGGGTCAGATGCCCTCTCCCCCTGCTACTCCGTGCTACTCCGTCCGCCCCAGCTTGCGCCACCTTCGGGGGCTCGACCTTCGCCCGAGGACGGCCACCCGTCCTGCAGTCCCGGCCGGTCGAATGGAGTGTTTTCACGGTCAAGGCGGAACGGCAAAGGTGGAACAGTGGAAACATGTGATCGCCTTGAAACACTCCAACTTTGAGTCCCGTAGCTATACAAACAAACATGAAAAACACAAACACACATCTATCATCTAACTCTTCAGGATGTCCATGTCTAGCTTTTGGGATATGTGTTGGGTCTATCCTGTTGCCAGGGCCCATCAGTGGATGATGATGGTTCAATTGCAGGTCTTGTCGGCCTTGTCCGTAAATAGTGATTTGCTTGTTTAGTGACTGTTACTGTTACAGGTTTACTGGGACAAACCCAAGAGATGTGCATGGTTGTGCCGACCAGAACAATGAGAAAGCGATTTGGGGTAAGCTCAGCTGGGCTCAGAGGTCGCTCATTGTCTCCATCAATTTCCAACCTCTTGAGAACAAAAATGCTCCAGACAATCCGACCGGCACCGCCGATAGAAGAAGGCACTTGGTGCCCAGCTTGGGTCATTTGAGTATACCAGGACACCCTTGCCCACTAACCACCTTCTATTGATAGCCTTTTTAGATGTTAAGGGGTGCCCACTAACCACCTTGCGGGTGGTAGAAGGCCTGGCCAAACCCCTCCCATCACCGGACAACCCCCGCGCCAGACCGAAACGGCCGCGGAGTTCGCCTGGGGAATTCGCCCCGGGCGGCTGCCATGCACGTGGCCATCCATCGGCGTAAGGAGCCACTGGCGTCCTGGATCTGTCCCGTTTCGGGGGGAGGTTCTGAAGGATCAGCCAGCATCTGAATGGATCTAACGAGGGGCGAATCTGTCCGGAAGTGAGCTATCTGTTTTCACCAGGTCTGGAAAAAAAGGTTGCCAGCAGCAGCTTATTCAGCCCACGAAACGCCCCCACACTGCCCCAAGAAACGTTTACCGGACTTGGGGTGATTTTAGGGCTCAATGTATAGGCATCCTATTTACCTGGAACTTCATGACTTCATGGTATCTGTTGTTCAATCCGAGGCCAGAATGCCTCAAACATCAAACAAACAACTTGATCCGGAGATACTAACATAATCCCAGGCCAACAAAAAAGAGTCGGGCAAACGATGAGTCGGCCTATATATATGAGTCTTTCCAGAATCCATTCGGTATCCACGAGGCTCCAAACCAGCTTGACACTACACTTCAACGCCCAGTCTCCAAACGCAGTCGGTGAAAAAACACATCCAGAAGAAAAGAAAAGCCTTTGCATTGGGGAAAAAATGGAAACATGTCTTGCTTGGTGGGCAAAGACGTCCGTGCCAAATGTATCCAAATGTTGTTTGTTTTTTTGCAACCACACTTCCTCACAGGCTGACGGCTGAATTGGAGTATGTTGGGCTTGAGTCTTTGCTGCGAACCAATGCCACAGGACAAATCAAGGGCCCAAGCAGTAAGCCCTCTCGAAACCTGATTCTGTTTTCGGAGGGGTGGTCCAAAGGGGGGGTTCCCTTCTCAGACTGAACAAAGAAAACACACCTCGTCCAAAGATGCAGGTATTACATACTAAGCTACATACTTGGTGTAGGTATAGATCTTCCAAGCCCTTCGTTGGGTTGCAGCAGGCAAGATCACTCGCCACTGTCAACAGGGTCTCACCTCCAGCTTCTTCGTGTGGTCCATAGGCGGCTCATGGCCAAGCTCCTCAGAATCGACGTGCACAGGGAAACGCGGCCGGTCGAAAGTCTGTGAGTCGGAGACCCTTATTTAACAAAAAGAATCCAAACACTCAATGTATGGATATGTATGGTATATATACCAATCAGTTGGTGTGGTGCCAGGGGGGTCAATTGATCGGCATATATGGCAGACCCAGCAAGTGTCTGGGAGTAATAATCCAGGGAGGTCGCTAACTGGAGAGACCTGAAGATATACCAGGGCCCATTTGAGCACTGTTTTGATAGAAAAGCACCTTACTTTGAGTGGTTGGTGGTCTAAAATAGGTCACTCAGGGTCTAGGCAAATAGAGATCCAGATTTCTGGTGGTGTCTGGATATTGTGAGTCACATAAATTAAATAGGGTACCCCTCTTCAGTGAATTTGACAGCAAAACATTGACGGTCGACGAAGGTTGCAACATACGTGCAGGGATGTGTTTTTTGGCCGGAGAGAGAGCGAGCGAGAGAGACAGAGAGAGAGGGGAACAAGCACCAACACCTGACATCACCGGCGACATCCAAACGTTCTTTTGTAGGCAGTTTATGTGGCCGACCAGCATTTGCCATCTAATCTTATAATGGTGGTCTTTCTTTATTGTCAGTGGGCGGAGTGCGCAAAAACAATGGCTTCCATCGTCTCAGGTGCCCTGTCAACTCGAAGGAAGTATGTGGAACCCCAAATAGAAAAGTAGATTCCCACTTAAACATATTGGTATTATATTCCAAACACTCCATGTATGCCGTACATGTGCCTATGTTGACACCCAAAACCAGCCCAACTGATCGGCATATATGGCAGTCCCGTGGAGTGTCTGGCTATTGGTCTAATATACACCGACGCCGGACGCACCACCGCGGCCCCAAGCACCTTCACCCAAACGGACGCTGACCCCCCTCCTCCCTAGGGAATATGGGTTAACCATGCATGATTCACCTTTTTGCACCTTTAAATGTTGTTGTAGGGAAACATAGGGACACCAATGGCCCAAAAAGGTGAAACATAGTTCAACGCTACTCACTGACTGGGCAAAAAGGGATGTGCGTTTCGCCCCGTTTCCCGTTTTGACCGAGCATCCCGCAGGTGCTCCAAGCAGTCATTCCAACGATCAAAGCCGTCCCAGCACACCGGACCTGAGCAGTTTGACATCTTCACGTGGTTTCGCCACGCGTTTCTTCATCCGGTTCACAGTAGGGGAGGCAAAACGTGATGATCTTCACGCAACAAGATATACCTAGCTTTCGAAGAACTAACTTTTCCATTGGTGTTCTCTAGAGTCTTAGTACAAGTTGGGTTGCACTCTTGGTCCCCAGCCACAACCAGGATTCCATAGTGCTTATGACCAGCTTGAAACCAAGTTTCTTAAGTTTCCCAAGTGGAACTGGAAATATTAGTGCGTTTTTTGTACCTGCGACCTGAAAACCATCTTTGGGAGTCACAGCCTTGTATTTGAGTCTGCGGATGTTGCTCGATCTAGTTTCTGATATTCCACGGGCATTGATGCACAAGTTACGGGCGTTTATTGGTGAGCCATGGGTGTTTTTACCCGAACGTGCTTTTTCAGCGGATGTTTGTTTTAGTTGCGGATGTTTGTGTGGTTCACAGACCTAAAAAAGGTAGAACTACCGACCAAGAACAGGCAACTACGAGGTTGCTGCAGGTATATCTGGCTGTGTTCCGAAAGCTAGTACGCTTGCCTAGAGAAATCATTCCCCGCAAAAGGACTTTTGCTTGACTGATTGGAGTTTGGGAAGAAGCTCCAAAAACAACCGCCCAGCTCTTCACAATTGTTCACGCGTGCGATACCTCCAGTGGCTTCCAAGTGACATGCGAAGCGATACCTGCGTGCCCCAGCAGTGTGCGCCGCTGCCTCAGCGGTTCATCCGCGTCCCAACTCCAGGGCCATCAACGCAGCAAGCTGAGCCACCAAGAGGCAAAGGCTTTAAAGAACACGTCAGTTGCAGCTTCCAAAAAAAAGCTTGCCCGCCTTCTGTCTGTTCCACCGTGTTCCGCGTCACTCCACAGTGCAACCCGTCCACAGCTAGATGATGCTTCTCCCAACCAGTCTTGGCCGCTAAGACCCGCACGAGCGTCACCTCCCAAAACCCCGGCCTCGACCTCTGCTCGCAGCACATCCAAGCGCGCCCCACGCCGAAAGCGCGCACGGAAGCGCGCTGACGGGGCATCATCCTCCTGGGGGGGTGACTTGGAAGACGGGGGAGGCATCGTCAGCACCGAATACGACCTCCAAGAAAGGTTCAGTGACCTTATAGGACCTTACAGTACTGGGGTACCTATGGGATAGTCGATAGAGCCCTTCAACCTCTGACGACGTGGTTTAGGCGCTGAGGAGGAGCTCGGACTCGTATGAGCGGCCAAATTCTTCTCGCGGTTTGGAGAGAAGGTTTGGACTCGTGCAAGCACTGCTGATGTTGGTTGATTAGCTGTTTCTAGGGAGAGTTTGGGCCTTCAGGCATCAAATGTTGGGTACGTAGCTGATATCACACTCTCCCTGTTGCCGAAACTAATGGAATTCTTCAAGGTATAATTACTATGATTGAATGTTAAATGTTTGCTGTTACTGTTCAAGCATCAAGACTGCATCATCTATGGATTTTGCTCAAAAGAGAATCCACACCCTTTTGAGGCAGGATCAGTAAAAGTCAGGTCGAAACCGATACCGTTTCAGGCGTTGCCCGAAGCCGGTGTGCGTTTCCATTCCTCTGCGTTGGGCCAGAGGGCCAAGCAATGCCTGAAAGCGATGTGGTACCCTGAAAATTGCTCCGTTCGTAGCGATGCCCTTGTTACTATAAGCTTGTTGTTACTAGTAGTATGGCCAGGAGCTACTGGTAGCGTCCTTGCTCCGTTCGTAGCAGCCTACTAGACCAAAGCCAAAAGTGCGCCTCCTGACCCCAATTTTAGCTCCGCTCCCCTCAGTGCCTCATCCTCCACCAGGTCATGCTGACAGGCGTGCCACCACAAAGGAAGTCCATCGATGGCCACCAGCAAATCATTGACTCGCAGGCCTGGTTGGCCAGGTCTCCTCGGCATCTTATTCACCAGCTCCGGAGGAAAAAGCGCGAACGAGAGCGCGCGTCTATTTTTTGTTTTCCGGGGCATGCAAGGGAGCTTCAGAAGCGTCGTGCGTTCACGCGCATGACATGGACATGGAGTGGCCACCTCAAAATGAACGGTGTGGGCACCTCAAAAGAATTACAAGACACCCAACAGGTTCTCAATGGTTCACAGGTTGGTCTACATTGAAATTGAAACGCTGGTATTGTAAGGTGAGAATGGTTTCTGGTTCAGTGGTTTCTGGGTGAAAAAAGTTTTGCATGATCGACAGACCTGTGAGCATCCACAAATCTGAAAGGGTTCAGGTCGACCAGCAGTCCACAATAGCCTAAAGCTTGTAACTCTTTAGGCAATGGTTGTGAACTACAAATTAGGCACGACTGGAAGTTTCCTCGCCACTCTGGCTGTTTATTGGCTACCAAATGTGCTGTGAGAGTCTAAATCACCAAAGGTGCTGTGAGAATCTAAATCACCGTCCTCAGTTTCCCTATTTAGCGATGAAACCAATCCCAAAGGCCCAAAATAGATTCTGCAGTCGCTTTTGGCAGGTGTTCCACTCGTTGCCGGGTAGGAAGACACACCTCTCATGTCATTCGGACCAGGCGAAGGCTCTCCATAATCTCACAGACCTTGAGCCCCTCAGAGACCTGGCGTACACCGGCACCGGTACGTCACACGACAGGGTGCTGCAAGAACCGCGTTTGTAACTCTCACACTATTCCGGGAACACGATCACTATCGAAGACAAATAGAACATGTCAGATACAAGAGCGATACAAGATGGTCAATTGCAATTTAGCCATCTTCACCATCGAATCTAAGTCCGCTCTTGTTGTTCCCTAACACCGTTGGAGTCCTCTCCAACAACGAGTCAAACATTGTTCTCAGCGGGTCCTTCGGGTTTCTCAGGATTGATCTGGCACTCCCATCCCCAGTTCCACTTAGGTCATCAAACACCTCCATCGGTCGAAATGAGCTTCGAGTTCACTGCTGCCGAGCTCACATGGATTTCTAGCTACAGTCCTGCTCTCAAACACCTGCCAGCTTCACGGTTTCGAGCTCCAAGCCAGCTCCTCCGAGCTTCCGACTGAGCCAAATCACGGAGGAAGGGGAGGGTCCGAGTTGTGTGGAGTCAGTGAGGGAGTCGGATCCTCCCATATTGAAGGCCGAACTGTTTCACCAAACTGTCCTGGGCCGAGTGAGGTATTCAGTATAAACAGTATAGATGTCAACCACCTGGGCTCTGGGCATTTCAGAAAACATAAAAGGGCCGGACCGGCAGGAACCGGCAGGTGCAATATGGCGCAATCTTATGGAGGCAGCTGTAAGACGCAGCCACTCACAATGCTGCTGCCCCAATGGCGAGTTCAAAAATGCTCAAGAAACTCGGAATGAAGATCCCGAAATGACCCGAAATGGAATAGAATCATTCTGGTAGCCCAAAGTGTCCAACCTACCCTAGGCCCTAGACTCTTAAACCATCTTAAACCTAGCTTTGGTACCTTGAGATAGACCCATAGTGAAAGCATGCCTTTTTGTTCAGGCAGTTTCCATGTCTGTCCTTCATCATCGTCCATCAGCAGCTCGCGCCGCAACGTTTGCCCCTGTGGACAATGTCCTGGGCAGAAATGGGACAGTCAACCCAAAATGCGTGAGACACCATGAACCCATTTATTCAATGTACACCTTTCGAAAGAGAGAGAGAGAGAGAGAGAATATGTTGGAATATGTTGAACTCGTTTCGGAACCATTCATACTGTCTACATTTGGTCAAAACCTATAGATGTGAGTAAGTCATGGTACGTTTGATTTTCTCATGACATCTCTACTTCAGCATGACTATTCCAATGGATTCGTCTTCTCAGCCAATTCCATAAATATCAACATCCAACTGTGTGGGCAACTGGGTTACCATTGTAGGCCCAAAACAGCTACTAAACACTCCCCAAGATCCAATCACAAAGAGTCTAAAACCCCGACACAAATAGTTTGTTCATCCGACACTAAGAGTCTAGAACCCCTAAAGAGTGTCACCTGGCCCTTTGAACACATGCACCAAAAAGGGTAACCTCTCTGCTTAACATCTCTCCTTCTCTCGGGTTCTCTCTGTCTGTCCAAGTCTCGGGTCAAAGCTTCGCCGTTTTCGCCGCCCTCCGCTGCCTGCGCCCGGCCCAGTCCGGGCCGGTCCGGTCGGGCGAGACGAACGAGACGAACGGACCGGCTTCGGCCGACCTGGAGACCAGACTTCGGTCCTGATGCCTTTCCTGGAGGTCTGAAAGAAAAACAACATCTATATATATATATAAAACACAGGCCATCTTCTGCCATCTTGGGTCTGAAATGGCTTTCAGCATAGAGGA